ACTATCATTCTGGGGGCACCTGGGTGGCTCAGTTGTTAAGCGTCTGCCTTCAGCTCAGGTCATGATCCCAGGGTCCTGGGATCGAGCCCCACATCGGGCTACCTGCTCCATGGGAAGCCTGCTTCTCCCCCTCTCCCCCTCGCTCCCCCTGCTTGTGTTCCCTCTCTCGCTGTGTCTCTTTCTGTCAAATAAATAAAATCTTTAAAAAAAAAAAACTATCATTCTGTGTTCTTCTAGCTTTCATTGCTATTTTTGAAAAGTCTGCTGTCAATCTACAGTAGCTTATTTAAAGGTACCCTTTCATTGGCTGCTTTTAAGATTTTCTCTTTGTCTAGGGGCACCTGGGTGGCTCAGTCGGTTAAGCATCCGCCTTCGGCTCAGGTCGTGATCCCAGAGTCCTGGGATCGAGCCCTGCATCGGGCTCCCTGCTCAGTAGGGAGTCTGCTTCTCCCTCTCCCTCTGACTGCCACTCTGCCTACTTGTGCTCTCTATCAAATAAATAAATCTTTAAAAAAAAAAAAAAGATTTTCTTTTTGTCTTTGATTTTTTTGAAGTTTTACCGTGATGTGTCCAGGTATGGACTTTTCCCCATATATATATATATATCTGCTTGGAGTTGATTGGATAGCTCGAATTCATGGATTGGTATCTTTTATAAGTTCTGAAAAATTTGTCATTTTCTCTTCACATAATGTCTTTGAATCATTTTTCTTTTTTCTTCTGAAATACAGTAAGATATATTTAGATTTTTTTTTTTTGCCCTCTGTGCCTTTTAATCTTTCATTTTCTATTCCCTCCACCTCATTTTTAAACTTAACTTATTTTTCAGTACTAGTCTGCTATTTTTCTGGGTCAGTTTACTGTTAAACTAGTCCCTTAAAATTGTTAAATCAAGATACTTGTAGTCTCAGAGGGAAAACAGACATGAAAATAGATCATTGTAATACTGTGTAATATATATTTCAATGGAGGGAAGAAAATATACTTTGAAGACATTGTTAGAAAGGGCATCTAATCAGCTTGGGGGGTGGTTAGGGAAGAAAAAGGTAATGCCTAAGCTGAGTTAACAATGGTATGGAGGAAGACAAGTACATTGCATTTTGGGGGATAGAAAAAGATTTTTTTAAAACAAACACTGAATTTGATAAAAAGCAGTAATGGAAAGTTAGCTAACTTTAGCATAAAGCTTTTAATGCCTAGCTATGAAAGTGGGACTTTATTTGGGACCTTTTTGATCTAATATATAAACATATTAAAACCTTGTTATTGAATTTTGTATAACAGATTATATTTCAAATTGTATGATAATGTTTAGATGGTTAGAAGTACAAATAATTCCTGTAATCTCCCATCCCCCAAACTGGTTTGGTAGTAATAGCAAATAGTTACAGCAAATGGAGGTTTGACATGAGTCTTAATCATGGGGTATAGTTTTTTAAAGTGGCAAAGTATATACCTAATAGATTCAACATTTGATCTTCTTAGAGTGGAAAAATAATTTAATCTTACAGAATTTTTTAAAATTTCCTTTTTGAAAGATGAGAACATTAATAGGGAGTTCCGGCTATACCCCTGTTTTAAAATATGTTTTACCATGAAGAAAAGTGTTTAACAAATATACTGACAACCATTTGTTTTATAATGCTGTAATTTACCATAACCTATAAGAAAGGAAATTGGAGAGAAGAAAAGTAGTTTGTTAAAAGGAAAAATAGGTGACATCAGAGTGTTTCTCTGATTTCTAAATGAGTAAAAAAGTGGGCTTTATAAAACCCGACATATCTAAAGTTAAATTTCTGCTTTGGTGTACACTTTTATGACTTTTGCAAATTACTTGATCTCTGTAAGTTTTAGTTGTTTTTATTTGTAAAGTGAAGTTATATTACAAACCTTTGTGAGTTCCTTTGAAGATTAAATGAGCAGAAATACCAGCTACTTAACTGTGCCCTGACATGTAATTTTACTGAATCCTAAACATTGGCCTAAGCACTATACAGGCTTTATCTTCACAAGAACCCCCAATTTGTGGCTGAGGAAACTGCAACACAGAGATGTGAAATAAGTATACGATCAAAACCACACCAATAAGCAGTAGCCACAGGATTTTAACCCAGGCATTCTGACCTCCAGAGCCCAGACTCTTAATCATTATGTTATTTCTTATGTTCTTATAATCCTTATTAAAACTGAGGACATACTTTTCCTAAAAATAGTGTTAGATTTTATAATATTATTACAAATTCACAGACTATTAGAATCAATGTATCTTTCAATGTCTTAGTACAACCTGTTTTAATGTGCAAGAATTTCTTACATAGCTTCTTTAACAGTTTATAATCTAGCTCTTGTGTAAATGCTTCCAGAGACAAGGGATTTTCTTACATTTTAAGGAATCTATTTCATTGTTAGATAACTTAAAATGTAAGGAATTTCTCTTTATTCTGTGATAAAAATTTTTATCCTCACTACTACCTTTATCTGTTTGTTCTAATTCTTTGCCCTGTGGGGAAATAGTAAGTAAATAGACAAATATTTAAATATTTAGGCAAGAATCCTTTCTCTTTCTCACCCTAGGCTAAACATGATCAGCTGTTTTACAGAAAACACATTTCCATACTTTTCTCAACTGAGAGCCTTCTGTGAATGCATCCCAGTTCTTTTTTTTTTAAATGTGCTTACTATAAATTAACTTTATATGCCAAATTTTACGTGACTTCAGTTTCTTACAAGAGTCTTGTATCATTTATGTTAAAAGGAAGGAAGGAAGGAAGGAAGGAAGGAAGGAAATCTTAACTGTTCACAGATCTGAATCGACCTAACTTTTTAGTCATTACTATGATCTGCAGTTCATTTATGGACTCAACAGGAGATATGCTTACACTTCATACAATGACTACTCCTAGTTAATGTTTATTAAATATTTACTATGCACCACGCCCTTTTCTAAGCTCTTTACACGTAATTTATTAAATCACAATAACCCTGTGAGCTTGATGCTATTTTTACTGTTTAACAATAACAACGAGGCACAGAGCTGTTAAGTAGCTTACCCCCATTATATGGTTTGTACTAAATCTCAGTTCCAAAACAGATTCAGACGTAGGTACTCTTAACCACTATGGTACATATGTCTTAGTTCAGGCTGCTTCAACAAAGTACCATATATTGGGTGGCTTAAATAACAGACATTTATTTCTCACAGTTCTGGAGGCTGGGAACTCTGAGATCAAGGTGCCAGCAGGGTCAGAGTTCTGGTAATGGGCTTCTTCCTGGTTTGCAGACAGCATCTTTTCTGTGTATCCTTACATGACAGAGAGAGACCATCCTCATGATCTAAATACCTCCCAGAGGTCTCACCTCCAGTACCATCACATTATGGTTTCAACATATGCATTTGGGGGGACATAAACATTCTGTCCATAACAATATGTTAAGTAGTTCATTTGTGAGCCTGATCTGGAAAGTTGTCTATACTTAATATTAGGGTTTTTTTAATAAGAATATGTCACCTATAAAATCAGCTTTTGGAGCAGCTTATTATAATGAGGGGAATTCAGTTACGATAGGAACCTTTTTTGAATTTGAATCTCAGCTAGTAACTGTGTGACTTTGCCTGTTTCCTGATGTGTAAAATGTGGATAATATCTGTCTCAAGATGTTATTTTAAGGATTAATATGCATACATATACATATTTGTGTGTGTGTAATTATACTGTTACATATGTAAGTATGCATACATGCAGAGTCTAGTATAGTTGTTTACAAGGTTTTTAAATGGTAAAAAGGCAGCATAGCACAGCAATTAACAAGGTAGACTTTGGTTTGGAACTGACTTGCTAGATATATGACCTTGGGCCAGTTTCTTAACCACTCTGTGCCCTAGTTTTCTTTTTCTATAATATGGGTGCAGTGCTCATTATAGGGCTGTTTATGAGGATTGATGAGTTTATAGAGCACTTACATCAAGACTTACACTTTGCAACATAATATGTAAATGATAAAATGGTATTTTATATCTGTAACTAGCATAGCACCTGTATTTTTGCAAGTTAATTAACAAATTATGTTGAATTGTTTTTAAACTCATGAATTTTTTTAAAGGAATATAAAGCCAAATGTAAAACAGTCATTAAAATGAATTGGTCATACCATCTTTTATTGCACTTAACCCTTAAGCACAAAGGTTAAGTAAATTTCAGTTTAGACAATTTTCCAGTGATTGCCAAGTTACTTATAACTAAACCAGGTCTAGTACCCTAGTCTTCTAAGTTGTTCTTTTTATAAGCAAGGGACCTAGGGTAGATAAAACACAAAATGATGAACTTCGATATGAATAATTTTAGTTATACGGTAAAATTAGTAGAAGTATTTTAACAATAATGGATTACCCAAAATAATTAGAAGATTCTGTTCAAAGTTTTTGTTTTTATTTTAAAATAGACTTGAAGTTTTAGATATCCCCCATCAGCAATGTGGTATCAATCAGTATCCTTGAAACACTTTCCATTGTGACTGAACATCCTCCTAGTAGAAAACAAATGTGAAATCCTTTATGTGTATGTTTAGGTTATTACTATAAAGAATGCTGACATTATATTAGTTCTATTTACAAAGATTTACTTTAGAAGAATCTGTATAATGTTTAAATATGCTTTCTTCTTTAACCAATCATGTAGTAAGTAGAGGTTTTAGTTCAGTTGTTGAATAGACAAGTCAAATTATTTAATTTAATTTAAACATAATAGTGTTGGGAAAACTTGGGGCAATGATCTAATTCAGTTTCAGACTCGGTGTATCCCTGGCAGATGATCCTGCAACTCTACTTGAACATTTTCTTGGCTTGAATTCTTATATTATCTGTAAGCATAAGGAGATTCCATTTAGGTGACTTTAAGCTCATTTCAAACCTTATAATTCTTTATTCTTTGAGAATATTAACTTTTAATTTTAAGCAGCAATTGGTCCTAGTAAGTAATTTTAACATACTATTTAATTTACAGATTGCCCAAGGACTCCAGATACTCCCAGCAGTGACCCTCGTTGTTCCACTAGCAATAATAGATTGATGGCCTTACAAAAACAATTGGATATAGAACTTAAAGTAAAACAAGGTGCAGAGAACATGATACAGATGTATTCAAATGGATCTTCAAAGGTAAGTACTATAAATATATGTGTATAGAGTCAATCCTCATTATTTGCAGATTCCATATGTGTGAATTCACCTATCTGATAAAATTTATTTGTAAACCCAACATCAATACTTCTGGCACTTTCACAGTCATTCGTGGATATGCACAGAGGGCTAAAAAATGTGAGTCATCTGATGTGCATGCTCACAGCTGAGATCAAACAAGGTGCTCTACCTTCTTTAAGCTCTTATACTGTAAACAAGTATCCTTTTCATGGTCTGTGTATACCACAGTTTTTGCATTTTTGTGCTTACTGTGATTTTGCTGTTTAAACACTATTACTAGGATTTCTAAGACCATTTTAGCCTCCAAATTTGAAAGTATTGACAATAAAACAAGTTAGAAACAAATAGTTTTTTAAATAATATTTTTTAGGGGCACCTGGGTGGCTCAGTTGGTTAAGCATCTGCCTTCAGCTCAGGTCATGATCTCAGGGTCCTGGAATCAAGTCCCACATCAGGCTCCTTGCTCAGCAGGAAGCCTGCTTCTCCCTCTGCCTGCTGCTCCCACTGTGAGCTCTCTCTCTCTCGCTGACAAATACATAAATAAAATCATTTTTTTTTTAAATTGCTTACTCCTACCAAAACCAATCAAGAAAAAATTTAGCTATATGAGTAAAGGGTAGACAGGAACTTTCCATATTTGCAACTTTCCTGTGAATCTAAAATTGTTCTAAAACAAAAAGGTTATTTTTAAAAAATTTAGACTCTAATAAGTTTTCTATCACTATAGCAAATGGAAAGACAGGACATTCTAGTGGTAGTGATTGTTTGGAGTAGAGCTGTGGGTTCTTGGGGAATCTGGAGTGGGCATATAATTCCTAATTGAAAATCATTTTATGGGAAGCAGTTGTTACTAGTAGAAATGTGTCCTTGTTCTGTGGTATAATGTAGAAGAGAAAATGTTGGGAACCACTGAACCAGATTGTTTTAAAGGTTCTTTCCAATCTAAGGTTCTATAATTTCCCAAAAGTCTTAGAAAGGTGGACTTATACAAAATTTACCTTGGTATTCTCAACGAATTTAAAGATCTTGCCTTTGCAAATTAATGTTTCTTTCATATTTTAATAGATATTCCCTAATATCAGAATAAAAGTTATTAGGTTGTGTTTTGATTTTGTTTTGTTTTATTTAAGAATTTGAAATAGGGGGCAGGGGTAGAATTTTAACTTGGAGCTATGCACCCTGCCTACCCACCCAAAGAAATTTGGGAAGATACTGAAAAGAGAGAAATGTGTATATGTTAATAAGATTTTTTAAGCTTAATAATGAAAATTAGATTATATGCCATATTTCAAATGAATTTTTAAATTATTTTTAGAGACCTGTATTTGTTTCTACTTGATATATTGTTTATATGATATTTAATAGCATATTTTATTAACTTTGAACACTCATGGGGTGGTAGAATTTTTTCTTTGTTACTATTTTTAGTGTTGACTTAGTTTTGAACATATTTCATTTTTATCAAATGTTATTTTGGACTTTTTTTGTTTCAAGGCAAATACTATGTTTTGGAACTGTGAATGCATCATATTATGCTGGGTGTTTTTAAATTAAATTTATTCGGGAGCACGTGGGTGGTGTAGTTGGTTGCACCACTGACTCTTGGTTTTGGCTCAGGTCCTAAGAGTAGGGTCTGCTTGGGACTCTCCCTCTCTCTCTCTCTCTCTCTACACGTTCTCTCGCTCGCTCTCTTAAATAAATAAATCTTTTAAAAAATTAAATTTATCCAGCTACCACCCTCTGGAGTAATTTTTTTAAATACAGTTAATGGATTAGATTGAGAGGTTTATGAACCCCTTGAAGTTAAAGAAAAAGTGAATGTGTATGTTGATAGACGGATGAATGAGAAGGCCATAGGTTTCACTGTATTCTCAAAATGGTCTGTAATTGCCCCCACTCCACCCCCAATTTGAATAGGTTTATGGAAATATTAAAAGTAAAACAGTTAGGGGCGCCTGGGTGGCTCAGTTGGTTAAGCGACTGCCTTCGGCTCAGGTCATGATCCTGGAGTCCCGGGATCGAGTCCCACATCGGGCTCCCTGCTCAGCAGGGAGTCTGCTTCTCCCTCTGACCCTCTTCCCTCTCGTGCTCTCTATCTCTCATTCTCTCTCTCTCAAATAAATAAATAAATAAAATCTTTAAAAAAAGAAAAAAGTAAAACAGATAACTTATGATAACCACAGGTCCAAAATTAACAGAACTATGAGCATCCTACTAAAACAAGAGATGATTTTCCAATAGCCTCTTATTTTTTTAAGATTGATTTATTTGAGAGAGAGAGTGAGTGGGGGTAGGGCAGAGGGAGAGAGAAACTTTAACAGACTGCTTAGCGTGGAGCCCAATGCGGGGCTCAGTCCCACAACTCTGAAATCACAATCTGAGCCGAAGCCAAGAGTCGTATGCTCAACCGACTGTGCCACCCAGGCACCCCAGTAGCTTTTTACTTTTAATAAGGGGATTTATTAATTTGAGAAGGGGTCAGGTAGAGGTCTAGCTGCTATAGTCTCTGAGGTAGACCTGCTAGTTATTTCTGTCTAGATTTGGTCTTGTTTTTATTTCTCATCTTTAAACCTCTCATTGGGTCAAAGTGTACCTCTATGAGATTAGGGAAAATTGTAAATTGAAGTTATGTGGAATATTAATTAATTTGTTAAGGACTTAACAGTAAATTTTGATGGGCTCTGGAGTATAAACGTAATAAAGTTAATGCCTTATAACATAATAGGTACTTAACAGATAATATCCCACTTTCAAAAGCTCACTATCCAAAAAGAGGTGTATGTAAATAATTACAATATATAATAGAGCTATGTTCAAGTTACTTTAGAAACCGTGGATAAGAGGGGTGCCTGAGTGGCTCAATTGGTTGGGCGTCTGCCTTTGGCTTAGGTCATGATCCCAAGGTCCTGGGATCAAACCCCGCATCGGGCTCCCTGCTCTGTGGAAAGCCTGCTTCTCCTCTGCCTGCCACTCTGCCTGCTTGTGCTCTATCTCTCTGTCAAATAAATAAATAAAATCTTAAAAAAAAAAAAAGAAACAGTGGATAAGAATCACTTAACTGCCAGAAGAAATCATTACTTAATATGAAATTTGAAGGATGATTTGGCATTTAAAAGGGAATTACTTTCTAGGGAAGATGATGTGGGTAAACCCAGCAGATACAGAATAAGGAACTGTTGAATAGGGAATGGAAGTGCTTCTGTGTGACTGTAGCAGAAACTCTCAACTTATTTCTTATCCAATATATCTGAGGTAGGTAGAATACACTTTTAACAGTTGCAGTCATCTTCAGTGGAAGGCCATTCCCTCATGGGTGAGCAAATCTCAATCTCCAGAAAAGCACGTTTATTTTTGGGAAAAGTCTTCCAGGTGATTCCAACAAGACTTTTTTTTTTTTCCTGTTCCCCACCAGTAGAGCTTTGAGTGATTTATAGTGAGAGGTATAGCATAATTGAAAGACAAACCAGATTATAAAGTACTTTGGACAAAATTCAGCAGTTAAGATCCTATCTTATGAGATACATGGAGCTACTGAAAGACTTTTAGCAGAGTAAATACATGATCAGATTTAAAGTTTAGAAAGTTCACATTCATCTTTTTCAGACTTGAAGAATTAATTAGAGAAGGGTCAAATATATAGGCAGCAAGTTTAAGTAGGCTTTTGTAGGAGTCCAGGTTAAACATGCTTCATTCCTCTTGTAACACAGTGAAAGCAAAGAAGGCAGAGTCAAGCTATTTAGGTAGAATAAATATATGGTGTCTTGATATGAGGAAGAAGGCTGAGTCAAAGATGATCCTTAGGTTGGTTGTGTAGGCATATTGGTGAATGGTGGTGCTCTTCACAAGGATAGGTAATTCACAATGGAGAGCAATTTAGGGACAGGGGTAATGAGTTCAGTTTGGTGGTAAAAATCATCTTCAGGACTCTGGTTATCGGATTCTGTATGACAAAATTACTACCCCAAACACATCATAGCCAGAGTTGTCCTTTTAAAAGCCAAGTCAGATATTTTCACACTCTTGTTTCAAAACCTTCCGTTGGCTTTCTGGCATGCTTAGAACAAAATCCAGAGTCCTTATTGTGGCTCTGCAAGTTCATACATGACTTACCCTGGCTACGTTCTGATTTCATCCTTTAAAACACTTTTATTCTCTCTCATCACACTCTAGCTATATCAGCTTTTTTGCTATCTTTTGAACATACCAAGCACAGTCTTACCTCAGAGGCTTTGCATTTACTGTGTCTCTGCCTAGATGTCTCTTCTCTCAAATACTTTTCATGCGGCTTTTTCTCTCACTTCTTTATAGTCACTTCAGCAAGCTCTTTACTACTATCCTGTGTAAAATATCAGCCTCCCATCTCTCCTTATCTCTTTCATTGCATTACTACTACCAGAAATTATAATTTACACAATTTCTTTATCATCTTTATCAACATTAGAATGTAAATTTCATGGCTCTAAGTAGCACCATTGGTTTTCAGAATAATCTGAGGGCTTCATAAGCCATGTCGAAGAGATGTTTTCCATTGATGTTTGCAGATAAAAAACTAAGCTATTTATTAAAATATGGGGTTCTTGTTAACCTCTTTAAATGCACCCAGGTCTTTTCAGACCTTTTTCTCATTTGAAAGTATCTAACCATCTATCCCAGCTTTACTGTCCTCAATATTCTAGTCTTGATATAGTCCAATCTCATCTGTATTAACAGCCCATAAAACCTTTCTGGATTCCCTCAGCTAAAATTGATCCCATCTTGCTTTGATTTTCTTTGGCTACTTTAAACATTCTGATACATAAAATAATTATTTGTATCTCTTCAGTAAAGTTATAGGTTTTTAAAGGTAGCATCCTAACTGATTAATCTTTGTATTTTCACTGGATGTGACCACATTTAATACATGTAAAGTAAGCCATAAATATGTGATAGAAAAATAAAGATAATGATTGGTTTATTTATTTCTGAAATCCATGTGTGATGTAGTTTGTTATAATGGTCCCACTAAACTTGCAAAACAATAATGGTTACTTTTTATAAAACAAAATATTATATAATTGGAAAATATTGTAAATTTTTTAACTTATAATTTAAAAATATTGTACATTCAAAATATAACAGGCATTGTACAGGCATTGTAGAGTGCTGATTACCAATAGAACCATATGAAATTGCTATCTTTTTAGTTCCAAATTAGTCAGATATTGGCATTTTCATATGATTCAACCTAACATACATAAAAATCTTTCCAAAGCCTTAACATAAAAACCAGTATTTCTGTAATTCAAAACCAATTCATATACTTTAGACCTACCTATCTCTTGCTTTGAATATATTAGGTGTTCAGTAAAAAATCCATTGCATTTCCTAGAAGTATAAAGCTGACCATAAAAATTTATTGAATGCTGGAAAGCATAAGACTGACATGTAGTAACTGTAAATTGCCTGTGACAGGTAATATCTATTGTCAGTTTTAAAAGCCTTCATCATACTTCAACATCTGTGCAGATATTTTAAAATGAACTAATGCTCTTCTTTGCATGTTGAATTGAAATAGTTAAGAAAGTATTTCCAAAAAAGTAAATGACAGAACTGCTGTCTTCTCACATGATGATAAAAAAATAAAAGGAGTAGCTTAATTGAAAAGCATAGTATTATATAGTTTGCTTAATATTTATACATTTATACTAGGACTTCATTGAAATAAGATAAAATCATTTTTATTACTTTAAAAGAGAACATTTTAATGCCAATCAAGTTCTAGGCAATATGATTTTAGTTTTATCTAATGCTTACAAATCTCCATGTTTTAGAGAGTGGTATCTTCATTTACATAATTTCTGCAAGAAACCTAAAGCTTGTGGAAGATAGGTAACTAACCCAAGGTTAAAAATACAGTTAAGATTTGGCCCCCAGTCTATCTGATTGCAAAACAGATTTGCCCCATTAAATTAGGAGCTTTGGAATACTAAGTTTTTCCTCCTCCGATGAGGTCTCAAAGAAATAGAAAAGCTATTTCAAATCTTCAGTTTGTCTAATGTACCTAATATTGGAAAGGAAGAATTAAAGTAAAAATAAAGTATTTTCATTTTAAATTTGGAAGGTGAATAGGTATATTCTTAAAAGCATATATAATTAGTCATAGCCGAACACCAAACTCAAGCAAGTATTTTTAACGGTAAAGCAGAATTAACAAATACAGTGTGTGTGTGTGTGTGTGTGTGTGTACTTCATGGTGTAAATTGATATTTAAGAGAATTACAGTAACTCTATTGCCCAGCTCCTTTGGTGTAAAATCTAAATATTTAATAAAGAATGAAATCTGACTAGATCTTTCTTAAATTGACTGATCTTAGGAGCAGGAAAGAAATGGAAGAAAAATACGAAAATAAATTTGCAAACTGCTTTTTCTCCTGCTGTATATTAACCAACCTAGTTTGGTATTTATCATAAAATGTGTCAGCTCACTTTCTTTTTTCCTTATATAATATCAGTATTGTCTCTCACCCCACATCTTCAGCCTCCCCTTTATTCAGTGTTATAATATACTGTGTGTTTTTATTGAAATGATGCTACACACCTGATGCTTATTTCTTAGTTTCTAGGCTTGAACTCTTCCAGAAAATATAGGTTGATTGTATCCTATTTTATTTCCAAATCAGTACTGACTGCCTTGGTGATAAAAGTAGAGATGCTTAAATAATAAGCAAAAATTGGCCTTTCTTATGAATAAATGTTTCCTAACTTGATGCATAGTTTTATCATTTCTCTTTTTGTGGATTGAAGACTATTAGACTTTGACAACTGATACAACTAAGCAGGAGATGGTAATTAACTTCTGTTCCTTGTTGAATATGAAATTTTTGGAAGAAATTGCTGTTTTAGTTTTCTATGGCTGCTGCAATAAATCATCATAAATTTAGTGGCTTAAAACAATGTAACTTTATTATTTTACAATTTTGTAGTTGAGAAGTCTCATGGATCTCAGTGAGCTGAAATCAGGCATTGGCAGGGCTGCATTCCCTTCTAAAGGATGTAGAGGAGAATTTGTTTCCTTGCCCTTTCTAGCATCTAGAGGCTGCCCACATTTCTTGGCTTATGGCCCTCTTCTTCTCAGTCTTTGAAGTCTACAGCAGTGGGTCCATTTCTTCTCACGTTACTCTGCCCTCCTTTTCTGCCTTCCTTCCACCTTTAAGGAGCCTTGTGATTACTTTGGGTCCACCTGAATAATCCAGGAAATGATCTCTGTATTTTAAGGTTGGACGATTAACAACCTTAATTCCATCTGCTGTCTTAGTTCCCCTTTGCCATGTAAGGTAACATTTGCAAGGTTCTGGGATTAGGACATGGACATCTTTGGGTGGATCATAATTTAGCCGACCACAGTTCCAAAAATGGTAAGTTTTTCATGACTCTCTGTCAGTAACATTCATTGTTATTGAAACTAAGCTATGATAGTGACATTATTTCATTTAATTCACCTTTCTTGAAGTTAAAAGAAATAGAAGTTTACTCACTATAATTTCCTTCCTTGCTTTATTGAGAAGGTCTTATTTTTTGACATTCAAGAATTTCAAGAAACCTTTCTCATTATCTCACCAATGTTGACAAATGCTGTTTCTTGTTTCCTTTATCGGATTTAAAGGAACACAGATACCATCTAGGATTAGTTATTTTAAAAATTTGCCTACATATGTGAAACTCCGTAAGAGTTTGGGAGAGGAAGTGAGGCATCTATCTGTCACAATGCCTCTGAGTATGAGAATTATTGACCATGGTATGGGAAAATTCTTTATATTTTGTGTAAAGCAGAAAAAGAAAAAGAGAAAATTACAAAGGTGATTATGGAGTTTTTTAAAACAATAAAATTCACTTGCTTTCTCTCAAATTATGGAGTTTTTCTCATTTATAGCACTATCAGTTTGATGGCTTTTTAAAATAAATGTATCTACAAGTATATCTGTTTATATTTAAAATAAGTATATCTACTTACAGTGTTCTTTTAACTGTTTTTCACTTGCTGATAATCATCTGATGTTACTTAGAAGCTATGAAAATGTTTTGTCTTTTCATCTGCTTACCTTTTCAAACTTACTTTAATAGGATCGGAAACTCCATGGCACAGCTCAGCAGTTGCTCCAGGACAGCAAGACAAAAATAGAAGTGATACGCATGCAGATTCTTCAGGCAGTCCAGACCAATGAATTGGCTTTTGATAATGGTGATGGAATAGAGATAAATTGTCATTCTTATTATTATGGGCATCGTGCTTAATAAATGTTACGTAGGAGAGAAGCAGTGGTTCAAAGTTAAGGTGGAGGAAGCATTATGTTTTTTGATCTTTAGTTTTTATCTTTTGATTGCTAAAATGGAAGACTTTTTATTTCAACATTGTATCTATTAAGTATTACTTGAATGTTTATTGACTTAATAACTAACTTTTAAGTTGTAAGAAATCATTTCTTTTCATGAGTTTTAATTACTACATATGAGAATACCAAATAAATGGTTCAATTGCATTTTTTTTCCCCCCTCTAGCAAAACCTGTCATAAGTCCTCTTGAACTTCGGATGGAAGAATTAAGGCATCATTTTAGGATAGAGTTTGCAGTAGCAGAAGGTGCAAAGAATGTAATGAAATTACTTGGCTCAGGAAAAGTAACAGACAGAAAAGCACTTTCAGAAGTAATTTTAAATAAATATTTTAACTTAATAAATACATTATTCAAAGAATGTAATTATTTAGATGACAGTTGTCTTTTCCCTATTCAAGGCCCAAGCAAGATTTAATGAATCAAGTCAGAAGTTGGACCTTTTAAAGTATTCATTAGAACAAAGATTAAATGAACTTCCCAAGAATCATCCCAAAAGCAGTATTATTATTGAGGAGCTTTCACTTGTTGCATCGCCAACACTAAGTCCACGTCAAAGTATGATATCTACACAAAACCAGTATAGTACACTATCCAAACCAGCAGCACTAACAGGTAGGTTGCATACATCTCCTAATTATTTTTGGTGTATTTTTTTGTGTGTATATCTGGTCCTGGGTTAATAAACGAATAAGAAAGTATGCACAGATTTTTAAAACATTGTGATAAAGTTACACATAAGATAAAATTTATTATTTTAACTATTTTAAAATATACAATTCAGAAGTATTTATTTACAGTGTTGTGTAACCATCACCACTATGTAGTTCCAGAACATTTTCATCATCCTAAAAGGAAAACCCATTTTCATTAAGTAGTTACTCCCCATTCCCCCAGCCTCTGGCAACCACTATTGATTTTCTGTGTAGATTTGTCTGTTCTAGATATTTCCTGTAAGTAGAATTATATCATTTGTGGCCCTCTGTGTCTGGCTTCTTTCACTTAGTGTTCTCAAGTTTTGTTCTTGTAGCATGTATCAGTATTTCATTCCTTTTTATGGTAAATAATATTCCATTGTATGGATATATACTGTTTTTTTAATCCATTCATCAATGGATGGATATTTGGGTTGTTTGGGTTATTTCCACCTTTTGATTATTGTGAATAGTGTTGTTATGAACATCTGTGTTCAGGTTTTTTTTTTTTAACATCTGTTTTCACTTATTTTGGGTATATATCCAGGAGTATAATTAGCAGGTCATGTGGTAATTTTGTGTTTATATTTTTGAGGAATGGTCAGACTTTTCATTTTATGTTCCCAAGAGCACACATCCATACCAGCACTTGTTTTGTTTTGTTTTGTTTTTTATTACTGCCATTCTAGTAGGTCCATTATTGGAAGTGGGTAGTGAAATCTCCAATTATTTTTTGTGCCTATTTCTCCTTTTAATTATGTAATTGTTTGCTTCATGTATTTCTAGGCTCTGTTGTTAAGTGCACATATGTTTGTAATTTTTTTATATCTTTTTGGTGGATTGACTCTTATCAAAATGTAAGGTCCTTTTGTCTCCTATAACAATTTTGGATTAAGAGTCTGTTTTGTCTGGTATTAGTATAGCCATCCCAGCTTTCTTTTCCTTATTACTATTTGCACTGAATATCTTTTTCTGTCCTTTCCATTTTTAATCTCTTTGTGTCTTTGGATCTAAAATGAGTCCTTTTAGATAGCCTATAATCATGTTTTTTTAATCAGTTCTGCCAGTCTCTACCTTTTACTTTAACAGTGTAATCCATGTATATTTAAGGTAATTACCTATGTGGCGATGCAATTCTGATGCTAATTACTTAGAGTTGGGTCAGATTTCATAAGTTAATAGCCCAGTCCCCCACAAGACTGCCCTCCTTTCCAACACAAGTTGTAAACTTGGAGTTTCCCCAACTGTCCACACTTTGACAAACTGGCTACAAATTCAGGGATTCCCACTACCACCTCAGGCTCAGTAATTTTGTAGAACAACTCAAAGAAGTCAAGAAAGCTCTATGTTTACAATTACAGTTTTATTATTTATTATAAACGTAAATTAGAAAAGACACATAAGGAGAGGTCTGGGGGTCCCAAATGTGAAGCTTCCTAGTCCTCTGCATGTATCACCCTCTTAGCATATCAGTTTCTGTCATCAACCAGGAATCTCACTTTAGCTGTGAGTATCCACAGTTTTTATTGTGGCTTTTTTATGTGGGGGTGACTGGTTAAATCATTCAGCCACTTCATTGAAATCAGTCTCTAGTCCCCACCCCTCTCTGAAGGTCAGGGGGTCAAGCTAATATTATATGGCACCAGCCCTCTAATCATATGGTTGTCTTTCTGGCATAACTAGCCCCCATCCAGAAACTGTGCAGGGGCCCACCATGAATCACTTTGTTAGTACAAACCCATCTGAGGTCTGAGGGGCCCACCATGAATAACGAAGACACTGCTATCACTGAGGAAATAACAACGGTTTAAAGGCTCATTCCTAGGAGCCATGAACAAAACCAGCCAAATTCTTTATTATACAACAAAAAGGCTTACTTCTGCCATTTTGCTATTTGTTTTCTACAGGTCTTAATCTTTTTTTTTTTCCCTGAATTCTTCTGATACTGCTTTCTTTTGTTTGAATTTTTCTAGTTTACCTTTTTTATTCCCTTGTTTCCTTTTCTGTATATTTTTTAGTTTTGTTCTTAGTGGTTACCCTGGTGATTAATATCCTGAATTTATAAAAGTATTTACCACTTTACCATCAATAGCCTACAAAAACTCCACTCCTATATAGCTGTGTCTCCCTGTCTTTATGTTGTTGTTGTGTCACAGATTACATGTTTATATACTGTGTGCCCATTAGATTACATTATAATTACTGTTTTTTGCATCTGCCTTTTAAGTTATAAAGAAAACAAAGTTATAAATCAAAAACACAGTAATACTGGCTCTTATATTTACCTGTATAGTTAGTTTTACTGGTGTTATTTTTTCTCCAATTTCAAGTTACTGTCTAGGGTTCTTTCAATCTGAGTGACTTATTTTAGCACTTCTGGGGAGATCTACTAGTGACAAACTCCCTTAATTTTTGTTTATCTGGGAATCTCTTTATTTTCTTCATTATTTTTGCAGGTTAGTTTTGCAATATGTGGAATTCTTGATTGACATATTTTTCTTTCATTACTTTACAAATGTCATTTCAGTCCCTCCTGGCCTTTGTGCTTTCTGATGAAAAATCAGCTTTTATTCTTGCTGAGGATTCCTTTTTAAGTGGTGACCTGCTTCTCCCTTGCTGTTTTGTAAGATTTCTCTGTCCTCGGTTTTTTTCAGTTTGATTATAGTACGTCTTAAATAATAATTTCTTGAGTTTACTCTACTTGGAATCTTTGAGCTTCTTAACGTGTAGATTCATGTATTTCATCAAATTTGGGACATTTTCAAACATAATTTCTTCAGATATGTTTTCTACCACTTTATCTCTCCTCTCTGCTGAAACTCCATAATGTGTGTGTATGTATTCCTCATGGTGTTCCAGAGGTCACTTTATCTCTGTTCACTATTTCTTTTTAAAAAGAACAAATGTTTATTGGTGTACAGACATTTTGGGGGCCAAGAGACACAGAAGTAAACACAAAAGCAAGCATCAGCTTCCATGGGTTTCAAAAATTAGAAGGGTGAGGAAAGCATCAGAAGTCAGAGTCTTCCCACCAGCAGACTCCTATGAGCCCTGTCTACAAACATGAATCCTATCTCTCTGGTTTGAACTGTCAAGATTTCTCCCAAAAGCCTGGCTTTACTAAAGCTCAAAAAGAAGCTTCTCATAACGGTCTTTCTTTTTTTTTTTTTTTTTAAGATTTTATTTTTATTTATTTCACAGAGAGAGACACAGTGAGAGAGGGAACACAAGCAGGGGGAGGGGCAGAGGGAGAAGCAGGCTTCCCGCGGAGCAGGGAGCCCGATGCGGGGCTCGATCCCAGGACTCTGGGATCATGACCGGTGCCGAAGGCAGATGCTTAACGACTGAGCCACCCAGGTGCCCCCTCATAAGGGTCTTTAAAGTTATCAAGCCAGGGCGCCTGGGTGGCTCAGTTGGTTAAGCGACTGCCTTCGGCTCAGATCATGATCCTGGAGTCCCGGGATCGAGTCCCACATTGGGCTCCCTGCTCGGCAGGGAGTCTGCTTCTCCCTCTGACCCAACTCTCTCTCTCTCTCATTCTCTCAAATAAATAAATAAAATTAAAAAAAAAAAGATTAAAGTTATGAAGCAAGGCATCAAACTGGTTAAGTCTTTAGTTTCATTGTTTTACTTCCTGCTTTTTATTTTGTTTTTTAATTTTATTGTTATGTTAATCAGCATACATTACATCATTAGTTTTTGATGTAGTGTTCCATGATTCATTGTTTGCATATAACACCCAGTGCTCCATGCAGTACGTGCCCTCTT